ACACACACACACACACACACACACACACACACACACACACACACACACACACACACACACACACATGTCACGTTTCCACGTACAAAAGGTGACGTCAGGAGATACCGTCCTGATCACTCCGTAATTCTCTCCACTCCCATCAAACTGTGGGTACATGTTGACTGACAGTGTGTGAGTTCCTGGTCCCAGGTGTGAGGCCTGGAATGTGAACGTGCACGAAGGTCCAGAAACACTCCCAGCTGTATCTGTGCCATAAGTAGGGTGCACGGACGTCTGGAAACGGGATCCCTGGAGCAGGAAGTTATAATTTTTAAAAACTTTGACAAGATAACAAGACTATAGTATACTGGTAAGAAAATATCCAAGTACCGGAGTACCTCTTAAACTAACTGTCCCTGAACTAGACAACAGAAAGTAATACTGATCGATATCATGTTGTATACCACCTCTAAGGCTACTTTCTGTAATTTCAATAGCTGCACTGGTTGGTCATATTTTTGTTTGTTTATTTGGCTCGTTTATGTGGAGTTGGGTTTTTTGTGGGGGGTTTTTTCTTTTCTTTTTTGTTGTTGCTTATTTTTGGCCACTCTACCGGCGCACTGTTGCTTCAGTAAAACGATACTTTCAGTTACGCCATGCTGTCTTTAAGAAAACAATAAAGTTCGCTGTTGGTCCGCCGAGGATAATTTCAGATAATGAAACTGGGACAAAGTTTTCTGGTTGTAGTTTGTGTTTTTGGAAATACATATATGTTGTTTAATGAAAGTTATACAAGACATACAATGCTTGGAAGGAAGGAAGTATCCTTTTTCATTCTTGATACATATACTCTTTAACATGTTTAACTTCACACCTCATATTAAAGGCAATATCTTGATTAATACTTAACGAACTCTCTGAAAATGTCAGATAACACAGTGCATTCATTTTAAAGCAAGGAAAACACGTGGGATGAAAAGTTAAGAATATTGGTAATCTTCAATTTTAAACTTATAGTTGTCAGGGGTCAAAATGAAAAGTGACAGCTTTCAGTTACTTGTGATGACATCTGGCGTTGTCACATATTCACATCGTCGACGCATGGACGGGATGAATCGAGGTATTGTCTATTGAGGGATAATATTCCACTTTTTAATTAAAGCTTAATCTAACTGAACTGGCGTGGTGTTGCACGAATGTCGTGATCTAAAATGGATCATCACACGCGACGCTGTGTCCAGTGAAGTCTGTGCTGGATGTGATGGGGTTACAGTTTTAGGCGACAAACTAGGCCTCTAGCACGAAGACTCCTATGTTTCAAACGAAGAAGAACATTCATGACAAAGATGGGACTGCCATTTCTAAGTCTTTTCTACTCATCCTGGGCCTTTGTTAGCCAGTTGATTTCTCAAGCGTTGCGTTAGGATGAATGAGTCCACCCTCCGTTTTGTCTTTCTGCGTTCTACTTGCTTTTGTCTGTCCTTTTGAGAGCCTATGGTTGCCATGTGATCCCGAGTGGCATACACAGTGTGTCTGTTGACGTGGAACGTTCTCTCGACTAATGATAGCGGAGTGCCCACCTGAAGCATGTCAATGGTGTGATTTCTTTCTGATTCATTCATCCGAAGCATGGTGAATCGAAAAAGCGAAGGCACTTTTTAATGTGGCGTAAAACTTGGAAGGAGTCCAACTTTGCAAGTGTAGTTTTTGTTTTCAAGGTTACCACACATTTTCAAAGTATTTTACAAAATATCATCACATGAATGGCATCGTCAAACAAAATGATAGACTAAAATGTGTGAAGTTAAAAATGTTAATGAGTATAATATATTGCTATGTAGTACTATTGTCAGATTTTCACTAACTTAAATTGTGAAGTTCTGTCTGATACTGATATTTCGCACTGTTTTGAGTTGCTAAGATAATGAGGTCAGAAACCAACAATTAAGGTTCGTTTTGTTTTAGTAAACGTTTTACGGCATTTGCAACACAATAAGGTCATATAAGTGCCGGAGACAGAGGTATTGCAAGAAAGTCATCATCATTGCCTTTCTCACCCTGCATCAGGGTATAGGCCACGGACAAACACCCTCCACTTTTCTCTATCCTGGGCTAGCCT